ATGGTAATAAAAAGAGTGAGAGGTCTCAAGTCTCAACCATAAAATATGAGAGAGAAATAGTGATGATATAAGTTTGACTCGGAAGAATGAATACGACAATATATATTTATTATCCAATTATTTAGTTGATTTTTTTGTAATATATGAGACCTTTTATATTGATTTTAGTTCTATCTGATTAAATTGTTTGAGTCCAAAATAAATAACTTTTTTAATTTATTTATTTTTAGTCGATATCCTTTGTTTATTGAGACCGACAACTGAGGTCATTTAAATGGTTGTGAGTAAAGTGATTGTCCTTATTTTAGTTTATTTATTTATTCACAATTATGCAACTATAAATTTTTATGAATCAAAATGGCATAATGTGATAATTATTGTTAATTTTTTGTTATTATAACACATGTTTTGTTAAGAGAATGATGCGAGTATAATATCGCCACTAAATTGTTGCAATAAAGTTCAATAAGGTTACTGTAATGCATTAACTACCTTTTTCTTATCATATACCATAAATGTTAGTTTATCAAAATAATACACACTTATAAGTTATATAATGTATTTTGAATGTATCTATTTTAATATTTTAAGAAAATTCAACCAAGGTTCATTTCCAGAAATTATATTAAATTTTATTTCACATGAATTGCACACAAAAACATAAATAAATTTGTTATTGATATGACAATTACCGATTATTATACCTGTTTGTAAGTTTACAAAAGGTGATCTATCTTGCATGTCAGTTTGATCAGCATCAGACTTATTTTGCAAAATAAATAAATAAATATTAATTACTTAAATTTATATAGATAATTAAAAAAAAGAGAGAAAAAAATATGTAGACCTAATCTGAAACCTAATGCATGCAGTTCAAAATTGAATCATTTTTGTTTTCTTATTTTAAGTATTTAATTTATATTTTTTTAATTTCAATTGGATCATATTTCTACATGTTTATTTCAATTATTTTATATCAGTTTACCTATATAATAGTAATAATATAATAGTAATAATATCTTTATTATCCAGGAAGTTTCAAGGAATGTCATTATTGTGAAAAATATTTTTCGTTAAAAAAAACATATGGTATTTTATATTCACAATCAGTAATATGTTATTTCTAGAGTCACCGATTCCAACTGTTTGATGATTATTATTTATAACAATGGTCATAATGAATACAGTTCATCGATTACTAAGATTATATTCCAGAGAATATCTAAATATATTAAATAAAATATTGTCATACTTTGTATTAACTCTATACATGTTTTATGTATATTAAATTAAATTCACCCAAATTATTTTTAATGCCACGCCGCGCAACGCGCGGGTCGCGTACTAGTATATATAATAACTAGCACAACACCCGTGTATTACATGGGTGTTGCATGAAATCTAGCTTCGTATTCTCGCCACTCCGGGGCATAAGAGTTAGCAATCCCTCGCTGAAGTGCGATCTGTGCATGACCCTGTGACCTGTAGGCATGTGCTATGGGCCTGCACCCTTTTGCTTCCGAGATCGATGACGCTAAGGAATCACTGATGTGCTCTGCTCGGAAGGTACAAACTTTTCGAAGCTTTTTTCAGTCATAGACAAAAGAGGTAATTGTTTGTTAAATTTTTTTCTTAAAAGTTAAAATTAATGAGAAAAAAGTAGTTGAAAATTTAAATAGTTTTTATAAAATATATATATATATTATTATATATTTTAGTATGACACTTGTTACTTGTTTGACGTAAATGTTTTATATTATAATAATGTTTCTAATTTATAACATATAACTACATTAAACATAAATATATTAATTGAAAAATAATTTTATTTTTTAATTAATTTTGATAAACAATTTTATTATTATTATAAACATAAATATAATTTATTTATTTATTTTATATATACAAAACGGATGTCAAATCGAAACTCATCAAAATAACGATTAATTTGATATATTATATATGTAAAACCGATAATAAATACAAAAGTTATCAACTTTTAAAATATATTTACAACTCAATGGTTATAATAGCAAATGGTATTAAAATACAATTAATACATCTAAAATGATCATAACTAAAGCAACATATTTATGGTAATCCGAACATAATTATTTTGAGATTAAAATTAAATTAAAATCTATCCAAGCAAAACAATGAAGCACGAAATTTTGACACATAGGATCTCGAAGCATGCGGGTCTGCCACTTAGGCTCAGCGCATCCGAGAATTATATATAGGGGTGATGTGTTCAACAAAATAGTATTTAATAAAACCTATATAATTTTACCTATAAGGCAATTTAACCATTTTTCCTCTAAAAATTGTTACTTTTGATATATTTAATCTTCTATTTAATTATTAAATAATCAACCCTAATCACTTCAAAACTATAAAAGTCATTTTAAACTTTTGATTACTAACAGTTGACCATATAATGTGTTGATGATATAATGTGATTAGATGTTATTATTGTGGTTACATTTAAATTATTATTTTTTTTAAATAAAAAACGTATTTCAAATTCCTAAATAGATAGTAAATAATTCAAAAAAAAAAAAGCGTACCAAAATATACATTACATCCAATCAGATAAACGCAATTTAAAAAAATAAATATTCCAACTCCTTTAATTATAAATTTGGCCAGCAAAAAAGTGAAAGAAAATAATTAATCATTATATGTATACAAATTACTCACAATATTTTATTTATATATATGCCAATGCACATGGTCGAATATTAGTTGGGCGCTACTATTTACCGCCCCCCTTATTACTAGTCACCGCCCCCCTTGGACGATTTTGCCCTTTTCATTTCTCACTTTCGCAAGATGTCCAGCAGCTCAGAGGTAAANNNA